ACAAAACATTGGTCAAACAGATCAATGTGAGCTTAATTTTTATTTACTTTTGAAATGTTTTTGTTGAAGTTTTTAGTTATAAATTAAAATAATGTCATCAATTTGACTTTAATTGAATGGCTAATACTGCGTTTATGTACTTCGATATTGTTGAATTACAAAATGAGATAAGCAAAATTTTATATTAAGCGCATTATATCGAAAACCAAATTTTTGTTAATTTAATAAATTCTGTGTGCAATAATGTGGACTATCGAATTTTAGCGAAAAGCGTACTTCCCATTTGCATGTAAAGTATGTGTGCATATGTTGATGTAATTAAAAAATTTGACAATACATATCATTTGCTCGGTATCTCATTATGCATTAACATTTTTTGATTTTAACCGAATTAAAACATTTGTAATTTATATGTAATGCAAAAATTATGTTAATTTTTCGTTGCGAACAGGCGATAAATCATCGGGTGCGCGTATGTTTGATATCTGTCAATTGTGTTACTCATGATAACAGTTTGTATGCAGTGAAAATCCCATCTCTTAATTAGGTGCCGTGCCATGTGCAATTTTACATCACAAAAATAGTATCACAGGAATTTCGCACTAATTAATAAGAGCACAATAAAAATTACTCTGGCACGAAATGAAAACTTTTGTTTTGTCTGTGTAAACAACGATAAAGGACTTTTGGCAGCTAATTAAAAAATCAACACAGTACACAGCAAACAGACTTGTTGTAGGCAGGATGGCATATGTGCATCCTTTCCTGCATTCCAACCTGCAATCGAAAGGTTACGTATCTGGTGGCGTGCAAACAAAATATTATCGTAGGCAGATTTGTCGGATCACAGCCGAATGTGTTATTGCACATGAAGACTTAAACTGTGTACATAGCGTGAGGCCCTACTTTCATATGTAGCTGTGTTTATTTGTGTATCCATATGGTGAAATTAGTTGCTAATCGAATTTATATCACAAACTACAAACGAAGTTGTCAAAATATTTTGGCAGTATGCATTAATGGTAATGTAGCAAAACTCACCCAGTAAGCAAATTGTGGTTTGGAGTATTTGAAGCACTATATTCATTTTTAAAAACCAATATTTATGTTTGGAACGAAATCCGTAAAGAGAACCTAACTTATTACTAAAAAGGATATATTTAATTGTTGTACCTTGGTACATTAGAACGAATGCACCCTCAGAGACCTCAAGATTGATCCGATAAAGAAATACATAGAGGATAGAACCCAGAAATTATTTACGAAAACTGACAATCTTACCAAAATTGCATTATCGAATCTCAGAATGGTTACAGGCTTCTCGGGGAGGTATGCAAGATCTGAGTGCTATGAGAGTTTCAACATCTTAAAGTGACTGGACGCATATAATTATCTCATTTAAAAAGAAACAAATATTTTTATAACGAATACTCTTAATGTGTACTTTAAAGTCCAGTGAAGCAGTACGGTCTGCGTGTTACATTTTATTACATTAGAATCTCCTACAATGGCTTCTAAGCCTTCCAAGAAAAAATTTAAAATTATATCATTTTCTATAATGCATTCAGGTAAAAGCTTATTTTATTATAAAAATTTTTAAATGAATTTTTATTTCATGTCTTATTGGGTCAATGCAAATTTTGCTTACGTTCTTTTTGCCATACATGCGAGCTATTATAATAATAATATTAACATTACGTATTATGTATTATCAGAGAATTCCATGCATTAATTATGTATGTAAAAAATTTAAGATTTTTTAATAAAAATTAATGTCATTACTAGCAGAGGTTATTCATATTTATATTCACAACAAAACCAAAGCAAGTAATATTAAAAGCCTTAATATTCCAAAACATTTTTTACTCTTGATAATGTATTTATGAGCTAAAGATACAAAATCGTTCAATGTTAGAAGATGACGGACTTGAAATAGTATATGCAATTAGTTTCGTATTTGTAGTTAATATGTTTTCAAAACACTCTTCTTTTGAACGTTCAATAGATAGTGTCAATGCAGAACTCATTGGTTGGCAAATATGTAACTGACAAGAGTTGGTTGATTTAATATAAGACTTGGAAAACTATAAGCTTTAGACGTTTAACTCAAGAATTTTATTTAGGTGATTGAAACGTTCGATGTGATCAATTACTGATATAGAGATCAAACAACTTTGGCTCGATAAATTGACTAATTCAGTCAGAGCCATAATAGCCAGTCAGAGCCTGGCTAATATAAACCTATTCCGCTAGGTATTAAGCCTATCTGCTCTCATCTCTCTTCCATAGTTACGGGAATAAAGTTTCCACATTGCTGTGAAAATCTTCTCTATTTATTTCTAAGGGTTCACGTAGTAAAATCAATTTCAGAAGAAGATGCTCTCATCTCTCTTCCATAGTTACGGGAATAAAGTTTCCACATTGTGTGAAAATCTTCTCTATTTATTTCTAAGGGTTCACGTAGTAAAATCAATTTCAGAAGAAGATGTCTATAAGTGTGCTCATCAAGCAGATTTGATGATTGAGATTGGTGTCTACTACTCTCTAGTGGGTCTTCATGGTAGTCAGAAGGCGCACTTAACTCTATCCACGTTGTCACTGTGTGAGATAGTAAGTGTTGAAAGTATTATACAATCGTGGAGATAATGATTACTAGTAGATATAGTATCGGCAGTGCTTCGTCGTTCGCAGTTCGGAACGTCTATATGCATGGTTATGCTGCATTTTTAGACACGGTCAGCCAGAATGATATGGCCGCTAATGTACATACGTATGGGATGCATTACAGTGTTTCTTCATCGGGAAACCATAATCTATTTTGTCGTTGACTATTGACGAATTAACGAGCAAATTTTTACAATTTCACTATGAAGTGATACATTTTGAAGAAAAAATGTTATTGTTAAACTTTGCTCATAGTAAAAAAGTTATTATATCATGTAATAATAGAAATGAAGACATGACGCAATATCTTTATAACAAACATTTTGCGGATATCACTATAATCATATTTTATTTAAACTATAGAAAATAAATGTATAGAACTTTAGAAAACCATAGAAACTATAGAAAATAAATAATACATAATCTGTATTTGTAGTTTATTCGTCTATTGATGAATGTCAATAATATTAATATTATTTTTATATTGAATTGCTGATTAAATATTTAAATGATGTCCAAATTTGGTTGCAATATAGAGCAGATATGTAAAAAACATCCAGTCTGTGTTCATATAGATATATATCATTCACTAACCAGCTTGTTTACTAGAATGATATTTATAAAAATTAATTAAATGAATTGATAATAACATTTTCAGAAATAGATATCCATCCATTGCTGTTACGTGGTGCAACTATAGAGTTCAAATTAGTTACCAAGCTTTTGTGGTAAAGATATTTCACGTTTTTGGAAGCATCAGTTCAATGATTTTAATCAACTTCCTCATATTAAGTTATGACATAAAAGAAAAGATTAATCTACATGTTTTTTTTATTTTTAAGGATTTATCTCTCTATTTTGGAACGATTAGTTTAGTGCATTTGATCAACTTTTTTATCTTGAGTTAATGAAGTGGAAGACAACTTCAGGTTTTTAGCAGATTTTTCTCATTTTCTTTGATAATTGGTTATGGTTGATAATTTTAATGAAACTCAATATATATCCCTTAAGGTATTTCAAAGTGTAGAAATGATTAAAATAAGATTTTTTATATATATGAGTTTGTCCATACTTGAAAAAATGCCACTTTGTATACGTGAAAAGAAATAGATTAAACTGTACGTAATATTCGGTATTATCAAATATTGATTAATTGATTACTGATTATTGTTGAAAAGAATAAATAATTCATCAATGGAAGTATTTTCAATGTTCAAGAAGTTGAAAAAGTATATGTCGCCAAAAAAGTATGCTGTTCTGAAGGTCAAAACTAAAGTTGATAGATTCAATCTGCTTTGAACTGACACATAGTAAAGTCATAAAGCCAAATAATATAAAAGGCGAGGGATAAGGAAATGAATTCGATAAAATATCAAGACAGTCTTAATAAAAATATATTGAAGATAAACATAACGTTTAGATTCTCATTGTCGTTATCTGTAAACAGTTTGTTAGTTAATAGTACATTTTTTATTTAAATAAATACAAGTGCAGAGCTCGATATTAGTAAAAAAACTTTTTAATTATTATTATTTTATTGCAATTCATAATAAAAATAATTGAAATTTAAAATAAATTCGTAAAATCATCACTTAAATGTTTACTTAATTAGAGAAACATTCAAGGAACTTCGTTTGGTACTTTTTTCCAGCTGATTAAGAACGCTAATGAATTGAATGAGTTTGGACCAACTTTTAGTTGCCTCTACTTTTAATTTCTGCTTTTCCGCTCAGTTCCGTTGGTGAAATGGTAATTTCCATTGCCAATGGTAAGGAGTAGCGATAATAGCTAAGGGTAATTAGGCATTTTTCATGTTCATGGCAACTCATTTGAATTTGCTTGATTTCATTTGATTCTGCTAGTCGCTAGCTACTCGCAAAAGAACAACTGAATGGAAAGTTGAAGGTGAAATTAGAAAGTAAGAAATCGCGATAAGAAGAAAGTGAAACGAGAAACTATGGCAGTGCATTTTATGGTAATATTTTCGCAGTAAATTATTATGAACAGGTGTTCGCAATTCAACTGAAACTTTTACTATAAAAAATTCTACTATGATATTCGTATTCATCTTTCCTTTCCTTAGTCACTAGACAACTAAATGTGAGATGTTGGCACAGCTGAAGTGGGTAGTCGCAGAATGCAGAGGAGTTGAAAATTCTTGACTTAACCTCATTAATTTGTGTATCACGAAGTTGAATTTGCGCACGTGACTGCGCGTTTGAATTAATGAAGTTGGCAATGCGATAACGTCTGGCAGCAGTTGACTGAGGTTGCTTCAAGTATCCAAGGCGGAAATAGTTTTTCAGAGCAATTATGTTGACATGTACTGATTAAATTTAATCATGTAGCATACCTTTAGGCGGTTTATGAGTGCATACTAACAGAATGTATAGCATATCTGCAGGTGGTTTACCTTGAAATGTTGTTATTATTGTAAATTAAATTAATTTCACACGTAATTGTGTGGCATCGTTTCGCACACAAAGTGTTGCCAACCTACGGACACTGTTAGAACTATTGAAGGATATGTGTAGCATAAGCACTTTTTTAAAATGTTTTGCTCTGCAGAAATAGTGGAAAAATGTGTTTGTGATGTAAGCATTTTGCTTAGTTGTGAACGTGCATTATTGGACAAAATGTTAATGACTTTATAAGAAGTTTTGCTGTCTTGTTCCACAGTTTTGTTCCTGCAGCTAAGCTTATGTGGCTGCACATCTGCAGATTCGCTACGCTTTGTGCTGTGGCACGTTCATGCCTCACTTGGTTGTTTGAAAATTCATGGCTGGCAGTGGTCGTTCGTCATAAATGTGTTGTCAGTGGCATTGTGTACTCGGAAACGAATTTGACGCTAACGACAAGTGAAAGGATCAAGCGGCTGGTACACATTTAAGTCGGTTGTAGGCACACTGGCAAACGCTGACACAAAATGCTGTGGGTGGTGTTTTAAGCATTCCAAATGTAATCAATTAGTGCCGGTAATCCCTTTTGCATATTAATCAGTTTATACAGTTGATGCAGAAAGTAAAAGTGAAAAGTACAACACCTTTTAAATCAATTACAAGAAAGTTAATTTACAATTAAATCAGAAATGATTTTTCGTAGGTAGGTCATTGAGAATTAAAACTTACTTGAATTTTTTATATATAAAAAATATTAAAATTTTTGAAAAGCCAAAGATTTTATTTTTAGTTTTATTTGTATAAAGGCCTCTATATAAATATCGCT